GAGGTCATCGAGCCAGGTGTCGAACTTCACTGGGCGGCCCTCAGCATCGAAAGCGAGTAGCAGCAGTAGGAGTAGCAGTAGCAGTAGCAGTAGCAGTAGCAGCAGTAGCGGTAGCAGTAGTAGCAGTAGTAACGAGGCCGCTGGGAAGCTGTGCGCAGGGTCAACGGGGCCGGCGGGGCCTCTATGCGGAGTGCGGGCGGGGTCGACAGGTCCGGCGGGGCGTCTAGGCGGGACGCGGGCGGAATCGACAGGCCGGCAGGGCCGCTAGGAGGGGCGCGGGCGGGGTCGACGGTCGGCAGCGGCGTACGGGCGGCAGCGGTAGCGGGCGCGGCAGCGGGAGCTGCAGCTGAGGCGCACGGGCGGCAGCGGCAGCGGCGCACGGGCGGCAGCGGCAGTGGCAGCGGCAGTGGCAGCGGCGCGCGGGCACACGGCAGCGGCAGCGGCGCCGGCGCGCGGGCGGCAGCGGCAGCGGGCGCAGCAGCGACAGCGGCAGCTGAGGCGCACGGGCGGCAGCGGCAGCGGGCGCGGCAACGGCAGCGGCAGCGGCAGCGGCAGCGGCGCACAGGCGGTTGCGCGCGGGCGGCAGCTGCGCGGAGGCAGCCGGCTGCGGCGCGCGGGCTGCGGCCTGCGGATGGGCGGCAGCAGCGCGAGGCGGCGAGCTGCGGGCCGGCGGGGCCGCAGCGGGCCGCGCGTTAGCGGCGCTGGCCGCGCAGGGAGCTGACGGGCCGCGCGCGGGCGGCTAGCGGGCCGCGCGCACAAAAAACGAGCCGCGCGCGGGTGGCTAGCGGGCCGTGCGCGCGCGGTAGGGAGAGGCGCACGAGGGCGCGAGGGCGCACGAGGGCGCACGAGTAGAGAGAGGCGCACGAGGGCGCTAACGGAACGGTGGGCCCGTAGTAGGAGGCGGTCCTAGGTGCCTAACCTAGGCTCGTAATACCATGTTAGAATGAACAAGAGTTGTGGACTAGATGGGAATGGGAGTACAAATAGGAAACCCTAGAGTTGTGACCCCCCTATAGGCTAACCCACTATGGCCTACACAAAGATAACATATATAATGTTTGACACCCCGCAGCAGCAAAACGGCGTATCGAATCTTCGCTGCGTCCGAGTCGACGTAATTCGCGACCTCCACGCTGGCTCGGGTCGAAACAGGGCGGGCGCTGCGGCTTGTGTGGCATTGGTGCCATGATGGCTTGATCGCCACTTGTTGCCGCAAACTCCACGTGCCGACGGGCTTCGCGAGGCTCCTGAGGGCTTGGCACGACCCGGTTTCTTCCCATGCCAGGCATTGGCTGGGCGGCGCTATCACTGGCTGCTCCTGAGCGCTGTCCCACGCTGTCGTTTTGCGTTGGTGTGCCGGACGAAATGACGATCGGCTCCTCCAATTCTGCAGGTACATTTTGTGATGCTGGAGCGCTCGCCGTGGCTTGCTGACGCGCGGAGTCACGTTCCGCCGTGAGTGTCGCGATTTCGAGCGCCGATTCTTCAACTTGGCGCACCAGACGGTCGAGTTGCTCCTGCGTCAGAGTCGCGAGATTGAATTCGGCCATGGCGGGGGTGTCGGGCAAGCTCAGCGAGAGCCTCTGTCGTGGCCGTGCGTGCTTACGAGAGAGCACTACGAGCGGCGGTGCTGTGTCGCTGAGAGACGTCTACCCCCTCCAAAAAATTGAGATAGTGGGGAAGCGAAGGTGTGGATGCGGTCCGAGAAGAGATCGTAGGCTCTGATACCAAGTGTTACGAGTGCAATGGAGTGAGCGAACGAGGATTGCACTATCGAAGCAAGAGTACAATGAGCGAAGGCATGAGCGAAGATTATATAGCGAAACTACAGTGGTAACGGTAATGTGTGGAAAATGGGGTGCGCGACGGGCCTAGCGCCGAGGTTGGGAATTGTCGAGGCGGAGGTCCGGAGCGCGGGTTACCCGCCGAGCCGTGAGGTTGGGTCGCGTCGTGAACAGTGGCGGGAACAGTATCGAGGCGAGTGTCGCGAGTGGTAACGGATTACTGTTGGGTGCTGTTGGCGGGAACAGTGGCGTACGCGGTGAGCAAGGACGCGAAGTAAGGAAAAGGAATTTTCCTTACAGATTTCCAGAAATAAAAACATTTGTAAACCAAAGCAGCAACTACCAGGGGTTTTTTTATCAGTGTAATTTACTCTGTTTCTCTGAAAATCAGAGTCGTTTTTGGGGGGTCACTATGTACCTGCTGGGTAATTTTTTTGAGAGTTACTTGTTCTCTGACCTGTCAGGGTTTTTGTGAAAGTTCACTCTGAAGCGTCAGTGTTTCGTTCCCTGATAGTGAGATTACTCTGTACGGGGGATACATGTACCCCCCAACCCCCACATTCCCCCTTATCCCCGTGCTGCCGGTTTTGACCGAAGCGCAGGGGATATCACTCTTGTTTCGCTCGTGTGTTGGCACTACCTGAGGTTCTGATTGGCCGGAAAGGCATATTTCATGCCACCGCACACAGGCAGCCACCCACTAGATACACATCAGAGTCAAAGTAAAAAATTACTCTAAGGTGCCAGGGTTTTTAACCTGAAAGCTTGTGTTACACTGACACCTAAGAGAGAGGCTCGCCAAACACTCTAGATTTCAGTGTCATGCCAAAAACGCCTCTGGAAACCAGTGTACTCTAAAACGAAAAAAAAGGCCCGGCAACTACCCTACTTTACATAGGTATCAAAAGCAATTGCAGCAACTACAACACTTTGATATGGAAGTGGATGTTCAACATCAGTGTAGTGCAGGCACAGGGTGTCGGCGTACATGTGCAAACTCTAACTTGGAGCAGGATCATGGTGCGTAGTGGTTGGCAGGCTAACATACATGCAAACGGACTGGCACCTCTATGCCATAGTGCCACATGGGGATGGCAGGCTTGGCAATTGCAGTGGGAAGTTGAGATGCCTGGCAAGCAAAGCTAAAAGCGAGGTGTGAGTTAAAACGTGCCATCAGAAAATTTGGCAGGACGAATACCAATGAGAAGTTGAACGAAGAACTGAAGTAAGAACCTGATTGGGAAAATGACAATGACAACAGATTGTGTTGGAAAGGTTTCAATGGAAGATGGGTGTGAACGGGAAAGGTATATGACTCGGGACTTTTGTTACGCCACGTGTGCATGGCAGGAATGGTGGAAATGCATGGCAGTGAGGCACGCAGGCAAAGGAATAACTGGGGAAGAGAAATGGCTGCTGGGATTATGGACGGGTAGATGGGAAAGTCTGTATGGCCGATGCCAGGGGATGCAGTGCCAACGAGGATGAATGGCAGAGGCAGAAATTGGCTGGGATCATAGCAATGGGAAGGTGGCTGGACAAACAAAAAATGGCGTGAGTTGACAAGAAAATCTACAATAGAAAGTTGACTTGAACATAGTTATAGAAAGCAGAATGGAAATGGAGAATCAATTGGGAACGTGGCAATCTAAAGCTGGCTTGACAAATGGCAATATAAGAAGACTCAGAAATTGACAACGGGAGGAGACATGCAGCTCGGACAATGAATGTGAAGTGTGAAAAAGCAGGCGTAAATAACGTCGACTGGAAAGTGGCTTAGTGAAATTGGCAGTGGGACAAATGACAATGAGAAGTAGACTGGAAAGTGGCAACATCACATTGATTGGGAAAATGGTGCGGAGGAATGGCACATGCGAGCATGCCAAAGGGATGGCAGCAATGACTTTTGACGTGCCTCCAAAGTCGTCTCACGGGAAAGGGATAAGAACATTGAAATAGAACCAATTTGATTATCGGAAGTGGGGATGCAAGAGAGGGAGAATATGGGGTAACAAATGGAAAAGAAGGTAACAAGGGGGGGTAACACTAGAGAAACTTTTACGAAAAAATGGAGTCGTGACAAGATGACCATTGAAAGGGGTGAATGGCAAGAAGAGCATGGCAGTGTGATGATGTCGTGGGTTCATGAGAATGAGGGAACGAGGCGAGAGAATGCCTTAAGACGACAAACAGGAGCATGAGAGGAGAGCATGGCAGTAGCAGGAACGTGAAAACATGAGGATGATACAAAGATGAGCATCAGAAAAACAGCACTGGAAAGGCGAGAGAGGGAGAATGACAACAAGGGAAGGGAACGACAAAAATTCAATGAACCAGCTCCACCCCTCTGCTCCTCCACACCACACTCGCCTCCTCCTGCTTCACTCCTCCCTCCCTCCCTCTCCCCAACCATTCACTCACTCATCCCTTCCCCTCCCCCAACACCCACTCACCCCCTTTTCAGGAGAATGTGAAAATTGGCGGGATAGATGGATCACCAGAGAAAATTGGTGAAAGGGGGAAAAGAATGGAACGGCGACGATGGGAAGATAGCTGCGGACTGTGACAGTTACAACGGGAAAAGAGACTAACATTTGAAATAAGACAGTAGGAGAATGACTATAGCACAGGCACGGGTGGTGGGGCTGCTCTGGTGCTGCTATAGGGATGGTGGGACTTGAGTGATGCTGCTGCAACCAGCCAAGGGGAGGCGGCAGAGAGGGGAGTTAAGGAGCAAAAGATCGACTGGAGCTTCAAAGTGAGGCGAGCAGTGGGAAGTGGCACAGAGGTGCAAGTGACTGCAGAAACGGTTGTGGTGCAACCCTCCACCCATCCCCGACCCCGTCTTCTCTCCGTCCCCGCCCCTTGCGGTGCGGCAGCACGGAAGGACAGGCATGTGATGTGAACCCCCTCCTCCCATCCCAAACCCGTTCCTCTCCCTCTTGCACAACAGCGCAATGTTCAGGAGAACTGAGCCCTCCCTTCTCCCACCATGAGCGCCTTCCTCCAGTCGGCATCACTGACCTCCCATCTCCTTCTGAACCAAGCATCAGAGTGGCTGAAGAGGCATGGCAGAGACAGCACCCTGGCAGCATGCCTGTCCTTCCGCGTGACCAGTAAGTACCGCGGCACCAGCATGCACGGCAGGTTGCGCGGCAGAGCAGTCGGCCACACCTGATGTCCTTCTTGCTGCGCAACATCTCAAAAAGAACGAAATTAATCATCGGCCGGAGTGTGCTGTGCCGGACCTGTATAATCCCAGGCTCGCGCTGGATCATATCTAGGGAACTTCCTCTCCAAAATGTCGATAAATGCGAACATGGCGTCTCCTATTGTGCGAGGGGAGACGGTGAGCAGGGCTGGGTGGTGGGAGAGCAGGGCTGGGTGGCGGGAGAGCACGTAGGACGTGCCTTGTGGGCCAAAGAGAGTGGTGAGTGTGGTTACCACCTCCTGCATGGTTACCTTACTGGCATGGAGGATGTGTGGTTGCCTGTGCACAAGGGAGAGAACTGCTGTATCCGCCGTAAATGAAAGAGAAGGATCGAGAGGAGGGATCGGGAGAAGAGAGGCAGGGTCAAGTCTTATCGTCCTTCTCGCTCTTCCCTCTCTTTCCCCTCCTCCACTTCCGTTGTCACCTCCCACCCCCTCCTGCGCTTCTGTCAGCGGCACAAATTCAGCCGATCGTGAAAGCCTCTGCTTGAGGATCTCAGGAGAGAAGCGGAGGGCGAGTGGGTAGCGGAAGAGGAGGGAGTCAGGGGGGGCGAGGATGGAGTGCATTGCGGAGAGGTGCAGCAGGAGCGAGGGCAGGGGCGTGCGGAAGACACGGCAGGCAGTCGAGTGCAGCAGCTTGGCGACAGTTGGGGGAGGCAGGTGCAGGAAGAGAAAGTGCAGCACCTGCTGTAGATGGGGGAGATTGGTGGAGGGGAGGTGCGAGGGAGGGGTGCTGGTGGGTGAGCTGTGGGGGTCAGAGAGAGGCGCAAGGCCGTCTTGCTGCTGCTGGTGCTCTGAGTGGGAATTGCTTGTTTGCTCATTTTTGTGAGTATCACTGCTCTTGTTGTTGCTGTCTTTGCTGCTACTGCTGCTGCCGTTGCTGACATCATCCAGCCTGGCATCCAGAATCAGCTCGGGCACCCGCCGGATGACACCTAGAAACAGCGACTCGGGCAGCCCGTGGGCAGAAAAGATCTCAAGCGCTGCCCGGATGCAGTGGGTGAGGGGCACGAGGAAGAGCGAGGAGCAGGTGCGGAAGGTGGCAGCGAGGGTGTCAGGCGACGGGGGGTGCAGGGCGAGCAGCGCCATGGCGTTGTCCCTCGTGGCTCGCTGCGAGGCGAAGGGCACGCGATGAGTGTGAGGTGCGTGGAGTAGAGGTCTTGGAACTGCACGTGGATGGGGGCGGGGTTGGGGGTGGGTGTGGAGGGCAGCGTTATGTCCATGAGAACGTGCACTGCTGATGCCATGATGCAGCACTTCCAACTTAAAAAGCACCACCCGCTTCCCCCCCCTGCTGCTCCCTCACACCGCTACCGCTCCAACCAGCACCGCCATCGCTGCCACCACCAGCACGCCCATCCACTTCACGGCCACCACCCACAGGCGGGACGGCAGCACCTTGATCAGGGCCCACTGCCCGCAGCTTCCCCCTCCCTCTCCCGCTGCTGTGCAGCATCCCCTCTCATTCCGGACACTCGCCCCACCACCTGCCTGCTCCTGCGCCCCACCCCCTTTCCTTCCATCTCCTACTTTCCCCTACTCTCCATCTCCTCTTTTCCCCTTCTCCCCATCTTCTCTTTTCCCCATCTTCTCTTTTCCCCTTTCGCTCCTCTCTTCTCCCCTTCCTCTCATCTCCTGTCTTCCCCTTCCCCTCCTTTCCTCTTTTCCTCCTCCCCTCCTTTTCTCCTTACCCCTTCCCCTCATCTCCTCCCTTCCCCTTTCCCTCATCTCCTCCCTTCCCCTTCCCCTCATCTCCTCTTTTCCCCTTCCCCTCATCTCCTCCCTTCCCCTTCCCCTCATCTCCTCTCTTCCCCTTCCCCTCATCTCCTCTCTTCCCCTTCCCTCATCTCCTCTCTTCCCCTTCCCCTCATCTCCTCTCTTCCCCTTCCCCTCATCTCCTCTCTTCCCCTTCCCCTCATCTCCTCTCTTCCCCTTCCCCTCATCTCCTCTCTTCCCCTTCCCCTCATCTCCTCTCTTCCCCTTCCCCTCATCTCCTCTCTTCCCCTTCCCCTCATCTCCTCTCTTCCCCTTCCCCTCATCTCCTCTCTTCCTTTTCCCCTCATCTCCTCTCTTCCCCTTTCCCTCATCTCCTCTCTTCCCCTTCCCCTCATCTCCTCTCTTCCCCTTCCCCTCATCTCCTCTCTTCCCCTTCCCCTCATCTCCTCTCTTCCCCTTCCCCTCATCTCCTCTCTTCCCCTTCCCCTCATCTCCTCTCTTCCCCTTCCCCTCATCTCCTCTCTTCCCCTTCCCCTCATCTCCTCCCTTCCCCTTCCCCTCATCTCCTCTCTTCCCCTTCCCCTCATCTCCTCTCTTCCCCTTCCCCTCATCTCCTCTCTTCCCCTTCCCCTCATCTCCTCTCTTCCCCTTCCCCTCATCTCCTCTCTTCCCCTTCCCCTCATCTCCTCTCTTCCCCTTCCCCTCATCTCCTCTCTTCCCCTTCCCCTCATCTCCTCTCTTCCCCTTTCCCTCATCTCCTCCCTTCCCCTTCCCCTCATCTCCTCTCTTCCCCTTCCCCTCATCTCCTCTCTTCCCCTTCCCCTCATCTCCTCTCTTCCCCTTCCCCTCATCTCCTCGTTTCCCCTTCCCCTCATCTCCTACTTTCCCAGTCCCCTCATTCCCATCCATTTCTTTCTTATCAGCAGGACCTCGCTTCCCTGCCACGTGGCACATCGCCCTCCACGTCCCCACTCTCCAACTCCTGCTCGTTACTATCAGTGCCGCTTCGTGCACAAGCCACACCCGCGAGCCCATTCCTCTCACCACCGCACCTGCTCTAAACTGCCGCCTCTGCTTCCCATGTCTTCCCAGAGACCCTGCCTTGCCATCTCTCCAACATGTAATGCTGATCTTCGAACTGCTGGGGATGGCAACGTTGAAGGTATTGCTACTGCCGATGCTGATGCTGCTGATGCTGATGCTGCTGATGCTGATGCTGCTGATGCTGATGCTGCTGATGCTGATGCTGCTGATGCTGATGCTGATGCTGATGCTGATGCTGCTGATGCTGATGCTGCTGATGCTGATGCTGATGCTGCTGATGCTGATGCTGATGCTGATGCTGCTGATGCTGATGCTGCCGACGCTGATGCTGCTGATGCTGATGCTGCTGATGCTGATGCTGCTGATGCTGATGCTGCTGATGCTGATGCTGCTGATGCTGATGCTGCTGATGCTGATGCTGCTGATGCTGATGCTGATGCTGCTGATGCTGATGCTGCTGATGCTGATGCTGCTGATGCTGATGCTGCTGATGCTGATGCTGCTGATGCTGATGCTGCTGATGCTGATGCTGCTGATGCTGATGCTGATGCTGCTGATGCTGATGCTGCTGATGCTGATGCTGATGCTGATGCTGATGCTGCTGATGCTGATGCTGATGCTGCTGATGCTGATGCTGCTGATGCTGATGCTGATGCTGATGCTGATGCTGCTGATGCTGATGCTGCTGATGCTGATGCTGCTGATGCTGATGCTGCTGATGCTGATGCTGCTGATGCTGATGCTGCTGATGCTGATGCTGCTGATGCTGATGTTGCGTTAATTTCTGCTGCGAGTGCCAACACAATCCCCACTCCGTCCCTTGGCTGCCTCGCTCGCCACCAACCTGGAAGCGTTCTTATAGAACAGCTAATGTAACGAAGCAGCTTATAGGAGAGCAAATACGCCGTGGCGGCACTTCCGCCACACGAACGAGCTGCTGAGCCCGATCCCATGCCGCACTGCTGACGTGCCGCACTGCTGACGTGGACGCGTGAGCGCAGCGTGTCGCGATCCGCCGTACTCTCTCAAAGTCGCGCATCACAGCCAGTGCAATGGAGTTGAGTCACTCCCCTTTTCCTGTCGCACAGGGTGGGCATGGGATGGCACAAGGTGGGCATGGGATGGCACAGGGTAGGCATGGGATGGCACAGGGTGGGCATGGGATGGCACAGGGTGGGCATGGGATGGCACAGGGTGGGCATGGGATGGCATTTGAGGCGCCTCAAAGGTGGGCATGGGATGGGATGACCCAGTGTTCCTTCCTGCCATGCCATGGTGAGAGGGAGACGGCCCACACGCCACTGAGAGTGCTCACGCCATGCACGCTACGCATGGGCTTCCCTCATCGCCCCTCCCCTCCTCACCCTCCCCTCCTCCTGGGTTGCTTGCCTGCCATCATGCCTGCTTCCTCGCCCACTCTCGCAGTCAAGCACGAGTCAACGGCAGTCAACGCGCCTCACATGCCAGGCGCTCGCTGCGCTGCTCTCCCCTCGCCCCCTCCGCCGTGCACCACTGCCGCCGTTACCCTCGCCACTAGCGGGCCCGACAGGTGACAAGCGGGTGAATGGGGGGTTGGCAGTGGGGGACACACGCATGTGAGTAAAAGGGTGGGTGCGGGGGGTGGGAGACAGGCATGTGATTGAAAGGGGGGGGTGGGGGAGGGGGACACAGGCATGTGAGTGAGGGAGGGAGGAGTAGGGAGACAGACACGTGAGTGAAAAGAGGAGGGGGAAGGGGGAAGGGTACACGCATGTGCGTAAAAAAAAGGAGCGAGAGGGGAGGGGGAGGGGGAGGGGGGGAGGGGGGAAAGAGAGGGGGAGGGGGGAAGACAGACATGTGGGTGGGGGTGGGGGGTGGTTTGAGTGGGGGAGAGAGGCACGCGCAGATCCTCCCCTGGGCAACACACTAGCAGCGTCAAGGCCGCCTTGCTTCTCGCCATGCGCGCACATTGCATTGCAGCAGCACTGCCATCCAAACACAGCCGGGGCAGCCAGCACAGCCGGGGCAGCCAACACAGCACAACTGTCACCACCCCCTCTTGCGCCCATTCCCTCTCCGCTGCCCATCCCCCCTTCCGCCCATCCCCCCTTGCGCCCATCCCCCATTCCGCCCATCCCTTCTTGCGCCCATCCCCCCTTCTGCCCATCCCCTCTTGCGCCCATCCCCCCTTGCGCCCATCCCCCCTTGCGCCCATTCCCCCTTGCGCCCATTCCCCCTTGCGCCCATTCCCCCTTGCGCCCATCCGCGCATCACATCCCTCTTACCTGAGAAGCTTCGCCATGTGGTCAACCGAGGCTGCTTGTAGTGAGACGGCCCACTGCCATCGCGCATCCGCGCTTCAACCCCGCCCGCGAACGCTTGCACAAGCATCTCCGCGTTTCCCCCTGCTTCAGGCACCTTCCGCCTCCACTCGCCGAGTCCCTCGCGCCCGCGTAAACCCGTGCTTGCTGGCACGTCAGGCGGACGCGGGGAAAGGAGCGGCGCGCGAGACGGACGAATAGCAGCCGCGCGCCACGCGGAGAGTCGGGGGGTGGGGGATGGGGGGCAGAGAGGGAGGGGTGTGCGGACAAGGCAAGAGTGCGCAAAGGGGGTGCGGAAGCAAGGAGAGGTGGGCACTGACGTTCCAGACCCTGAGTCTGACCGTGTACGTGCTGCTCACCCTACTGTCACGCGTCTCCTGGCCACTGTTGTCACTGACCCTTCCTTTGAGTCCGCTGCTGCGTCTGCCTTAGTTGCTGAGCTTGTCGACTTTGCTGCTCACTGTCGTCTAGACTACGCCGCGAGTCTAGTTGCTGAGTCTGAGTCTGTCTGTCCTCCGTCCGTCGGGGGTGAGTGTGCTCTTGGCACAGACGTCCTTGAGGACAGGCAGGAGGAGTTCCAGTGCTTTGCCGCTGCTGTACCTCATCTCGTGTCCATGCTGATTGCACCTGAGGGAGACCCGGATGCACCAGACATCCTGACCCCGCGCTCTTACGCTGAGGCGATCGCGGGTGAGTACTCCTCTCAGTGGCAGGCAGCCATGGACGCAGAGATGGCATCCTGGAAGTCCACTGGCACTTACGTCGACGAGGTTCCCCCTCCTAGGGCGAACATCGTCAGTGGCATGTGGATTTTCAGGGTGAAGCGGCCGCCAGGTTCTCCACCTGTCTTCAAGGCTCGTTACGTTGCTCGAGGCTTCAGTCAGCGAGAGGGAGTTGACTTCTTCCAGACCTTCTCCCCCACCCCAAAGATGACCACTCTTCGGGTGCTGCTGCACGTTGCCGCTCACCGTGACTACGAGCTTCACTCTCTTGACTTCAGCACAGCTTTCTTGCAAGGCAGCCTGCACGAGGAGATCTGGCTGCGCCGCCCACCTGGCTTTACTGGGTCGTTCCCTCCTGGAACCCAGTGGAGCCTCCGGCGGCCGGTCTACGGTCTCCGCCAGGCGCCACGTGAGTGGTACGACACACTGAGGACTACGCTTGCGGCTCTTGGGTTTGCGCCTTCTACTGCTGACCCGTCGCTGTTTCTGCGCACCGACACTTCGCTGCCGCCGTTCTACATCCTCGTGTACGTCGACGACTTGGTGTTTGCCACTGCTGACACTGAGGCTCTCGCCCACGTGAAGTCGGAGCTGCAGAAGAGACACACGTGCACAGACTTGGGTGAGCTGCGCAGCTACCTTGGCTTGCAGATCACCCGGGACAGAGCACGCCGCACCATCACTCTGACTCAGTCACACATGGTGCAGCAGGTCCTTCAGCGCTTCGGCTTCACCTGGTCCTCAGCACAGGCCACTCCTCTGGCTACAGGTCACTCGCTCTCAGCTCCACCTTCGGACGAGTCCGTAGAGCCGAGTGGTCCTTACCCAGAGCTAGTTGGCTGCCTCATATACCTGATGACCTGCACTCGTCCTGACCTCGCGTACCCTCTTGGTCTTCTGGCTCGCTACGTGGCTCCTGGTCGGCACCGACCTGAGCACATGGCTGCTGCTAAGAGGGTACTGCGCTACTTGTGCAGCACATCAGGCATGGGGCTAGTGCTTGGAGGGACGAGCCCAGTTGTTCTCACTGGGCACTCAGACGCTTCTTGGGTTGACGACCACGCTACTCAGCAGTCGTCACAGGGTTACACCTTCAGCCTTGGCTCTGGTTCAGTTTCGTGGCGTTCTACACGCTCGTCTTCAGTTCTCAGCTCCAGTTGTGAGGCTGAGATCTATGCCACAGCCATGGCTGCACAGGAGTTGCGCTGGCTCACCTACCTGCTGACTGACTTGGGAGAGCAGCCTCGTTCTCCTCTAGTGCTGTACGTCGACAACAAGGCTGCCATTGCCTTGTGTGAGGAGCACAGACCGGAGCACAGAACAAAGCACATCGCTCTGCGTTACTTCCTGGCTCGAGAGTTGCAGCAGCGTGGTCAGCTTCGTCTGCGGCACGTGGCCGGTCGGGCCAACACTGCTGATATATTCACCAAGGCGCTTCCGTCTGGTGATCATCAGCGTTTCTGCACTTTGCTAGGGCTTGTGCCCACATTTCCTCACTTGCTGTAGGCCTTACTTGTTCTGTAATCTATATATGTATATATATATCTGCATGTTTGCATTACTAGGTAGAGATCACTGTGCTGTTCTTGCTGCTTATATACCTCTGCATGTGGACTGGCCTTGTGGCCCTTTGCTTGTGCTTAGTGTGTGTGGTGACGTTGTGATCCACCCTGAGCCGTGTTTTGTTTCTTCTCTTGACTGGTCTTGTGACCATTGCTTGCTCTGGCTATCCCCCATTTCGCCTATGGGGGTGTGTCAAAACATATGCATGTGAGCATCTTGGCTATATTGGGGCTAGCCTTAGGGGGTACAGAAACTTTCTCGACACTCTAGTCTTGTACCCCAACCTTGACATAATCACACACATACTCTTCTTATTCTAACAGGGAAAGCAGGTCTGCTGCCCATAGCGGAAGTAGTTTATCACGGGAAAGGCGTGCTATGTCTCGATTGGAGGAAAAAGAACGTTAGGGGTTGAGCAGCCAATGACAAGCTGTCCGAAACGAATGCTCCAAGCATAGCCTCGAGGTTCGGCACAGCCGGACGAGATTTTTGCGGCTCGTTCATTTAGGACCAAGTCGATTTTGGGCTGCGAAATTTCAGCGTTTCGGCCGCCCGAACTCATTTCGAGTCGCACTTCCGTCAAGCTCGCCGCTGTGGAAGCACGCCACTGCTTCTCGTTGACTGAATGTAGGGTCCCTGTGGGTGTGGTCTCCAATCTAAGGTATGCTCGAGGCTGCCAGCACTTTGATTTGTTCCGTCAGCGTCAACGAACTGCGAAAGCAAGCGACCGAGAAATCTACGGAGGCGATTAAGTTGGGGGCCATTGGATCGTACTGCGGCGTGGTGCCTAGCAACTCACGGAGCAGCAGTGAAGATCGGACGGTTGCCAGAAGCTTAGGAAATGTCGGAGTACCAGAAACAGATCTAGAGGAACTAGAGTTTCTTTCAAAACGCTGGTCGTTCAGGCAGATTCCAAGGTTGGGATGAGCACAGAAAAAACGAATGCTATTATGTGCAGCTTTGTTTTCAAATATAACAGTGAGATTGACAGAGTTCAAATCATATATTCCCACCAACAATCCACAAAATAATCTTTATGGATGTCGAACAAAAACATGGAGTTTTTTTTTTTTGAATCACCCTCTCTCGTTTTAAAATTGTTGAGAAGCTCACCAATGTATGGTGCAGCTTGTGAGTTTGTCGTATTTGACTGGCAATTGGAATATTCAACTACCACCAGGGCCTCAGATTCACTTTTAGGGACGTCAGGGTATCAGGGTTCCTATGTGAAAAAGGCTGAAATTCAGTGTTCCATCTGAAAAAAAGTCTGAATTTTCAGGGTGTCCTAGAAATGAAGTCTTTCACCCTCATGAACTCTCACAAAACCTTCCCGGCCGTGAGATTCGAACCGGAAATCTCATCCGTCGTAGCGAAATTCCCTACGACTAGGACATTACGCTATGAACCGCGACAAATCAAAACATTTTGTGGGTAATTCTTCAAGAAATGGTTCACACCTAATCATCTTGGGTGTTTTACAGCAGGGATTCGGAATGTGCATTCAGTGTACACTTCGATAAAATGCTGGAAATTCAGTCCCCTTAGAGAAAAAATGGCTGGAAAATCAGTCCCCCTAAAATCTGAACACTGGAAAATCAGTGTAGGTACAAAAATTTACCCTGAAAATCAGGAATTTCAGGGTTTTTTTCCTGATATCTGAGGGTCTTGATTCAAGACTTGTGCCAACACGCTTTAGAGAAGTTGACAATCCAGTTCCTTGAACTTCAGCCAAGGACGTAAGTTTGTGCCTAGAATGAGAAGACGCGCATTCAGGATTCCACATTACCAAGGATCAGATTCACACGTAAGCTGTGATATGAAGGTCACGTAAAAGTGGGCGCGGACGCGCGATTCCGAGTGGCAGGAGCAATTCAGTCATGGAGAGGCACGTTGTAACTGCAAAGAGGCTTAACGATTGCTGATACAACCAAAGGATCCAGTGGATAGGATAGAATGTGTTAAGCCTGAGAGGAGACAGTGAAGTCTCTATAGTGACCTTGTTGAATAATAATAAAAGAGAACAAGATAATTGAAAGATAGGAATACAAGCAATTAAATAGAAATCTAACTAGCCATATACTCTGAGGGGTACATTCCCTTATTAACTGTATTACATAGCTACAGTAACCGCGACTATTGCTATCCTCGACAGTTACCATGTTGTAGACAGTTTTAACCATGCATTGCACTGAATAGAGAGCCGCCGAAAACACTGTCGCGCGGTTACTGGATCGTCAAGGGTCACGACCGTTGACTTTCTCAGACGGTTGACCTTCGGGTGACCCTCGACATTCCGCATGCTCTATATGAGCTATTGCGGTACTGGTACAGTGAAACAACTTCAGGAATGCTTATGTAACCTTTCGGTTATTCCAACACTCCCCTTCATTCCTGAAGGTGGGCCACGTGGGATTTCTTGGTAATCCCGCAGAGGTCGGCGCAGTGCTGGTACTGCTGACGTGGCAGTTTCTTCGTCAGGAAGTCAGCTGCCATGTTACTGGTCGGGCAGTACGTCAGCTTGACTCTCCCCTTGTCGATTTCGTCCTTCACGAAGAAGTAGCGAAGGCCGATGTGCTTGGTGCGGTTGATGAAGCCGGGCTTGTTTGCGATTTTTATCGCGCTCTGATTGTCGCAGAGTAACGTGAAGTGCCCGTTCATCGTCACCTTCGCCTCCTACAAGAGCTCCATTAGGTACAGTCCTTCGCGAACAGCTGCGCTGGCTGCGATGAATTCTGCTTCAGCTGACGAAAGGGCGATGAGTTCCTGTTTCTGGGAGTTCCAAGAGATGAGTCCAGCAGGTTGGAGTTGGAAAATGAATCCTGTGCGGGAGCGTCTGTTGTCAACATCTCCAGCGTGATCAGCATCTACGTAGCCATGGAGCTGCAGAGTAGCGGTGAGGTTAGCTTCGTAGGTGAGGCCGACGTCGGGAGTGGAGATGAAGTACTGCAGTGCTCGGCGTAGATCCAGTAGATTCTCCCCTTCAGGTCGCTTCAGGTACTGTGCGAGCTGGCTTGCAACGTAGGAGAGATCGGGCCGGCACGTGACGGCGGCGAGCAAGAGACATCCCAGCTGCTGCTGATAGAGGCGATGGTTGTCGGGAGAGAGTGGTGTAGTGTTGGGCTTGTGGTTAGGAGGAGGAGTGCGATAGGGGGTGGTGAGGTTGATGATGGCGAATCGCTTCGCGAGGGTCTCGGCGTATTTGGCGGCGGAGAGGTGAATGGAGGAGGCGGATTGAGTTACGTTGAGGCCAAGAAATTGAGTGACGTTGTGGTTGATGGTCACTTCCAGCTTCTCTTTGATGTCAGCCTCAAACTGGTCCAGCAGCTCCGTGTCGTCGCCGGTGTAGAGAAGGTCGTCGACGTAGGCGACGAGGAGGATAAACTTTCCACGCGATTCCCGCCGATACATTCCGAGGTCGTGCGGCAGCTGAGTGAAGCCGAGCTCAAGGAGGACGGAATGGAGGTACTGCTGCCACAGACGAGGAGCTTGCTTGATGCCGTAGAGCGACTTCTGGAGGAGGCACACGGCGCCGTCATCTTCTTCGAATGCGTGCGGCTGCTCGACGAAGATGATGGCGTCGATGGGAGCGTACAGGAAGGCGCTCCCGACGTCTATTTGTCGGAGTGGTCGCTGTTTGACGGCGGCGATGCAGATGAGAATGCGCACCGAGGTGTGACGGCCGACTGGAGCGTAGGTGAGAGTGAAATCCACCAGGTGAGTCTGCTCGAATCCCCGCACCACCCAGCGCGCCTTGTACTTGTCGATCGAGCCATCGGCGAGAGTTTTGATGCGGAAAACCCATTTGCCGCTGAGAATTTTTCTCCCCTTTGCCGATGACCGTGGGACCAGCTTCCAGGTGCCGCGCTTCTTCAGCGACGCGATTTCGGCGGCCATGGCTGCTCTCCATTTGTCACTGTCGGAACCGGACAGTGCTTGACGGACGGTAGTTGGTTCCTTTGGCGAGGTGTGACGAACAGCGACGGCGAGGCCGAGAACGCGAAGACTGTCAGAAGAACTGAACGAGGAATGACTGTACTAGCACAAAGTTGGATACAAGTAGGAAACCCTAATCTAGTGTACCCCCTAAGGTGTAACCCACTACAGCCTACAATCATATAAACATATAATGTTTGACACACCCCCATAGGCGCAGTGGGAGACAACCACAGGGTCACGAGACCAGTCAAAGCAAAGGAAGGCAAGCTCAGGGTGGATCTCAAGGATTCCACACAAATTCCGAGCACAAGCAAGCGGTCACAAGACCAGTCCACATGCAGGTTTATAATAGAGCAAGAGATACAGTGATCACAACCTAACAAGAGTGAACATGCAGGTATATATATATATAGTGATCACAGTACAAGCATGGTCAAGAAGTAAGCAAATGAGGTCCAGTAGGCACAAGGCCTAGCAGAGTGCAGAAGCGCTGATGGTCACAAGGCTGAAGCGCCTTGGTGAATACATCAGCAGTGTTGGCCTCAGTGGCCACGTAACGAATACAAAGCTGACCGCGCTGCTGCAGCTCTCGAGCAAGGAAGTACCGCAGGGCGATGTGCTTCGTTCTGTGCTCCAGTCTGTGCTCCTCACACAAGGCAATGGCAGCCTTGTTGTCAACGTACAGCACTGGAGGAGAACGAGGCCGCTCTCCCAGGTCGGTCAGCAGATAGGTCAGCCAGCGTAGCTCCTGGGCAGCCATGGCTGTAGCGTAGATCTCAGCCTCACAACTGGAGCTGAGAACAGAAGAAGAGCGTGTAGAACGCCAAGAAACTGAGCCAGAGCCAAGGCTGAAGGTGTAACCCTGAGACGACCGCTGAGTAGCCTGATCGTCTGCCCAAGAAGCGTCTGAGTGTCCTGTGAGTACAACTCGGTCTCGCCCTCCAAGCACTAGCCCCATGCCCGACGTACTGCACAAATAGCGCAACACCCTCTTAGCGGCATCCATGTGCTCCTTCCTGTGACGGCCAGGAGCGACATAGCGTGCAAGGATGCTAAGAGGGTATGCCAGGTCAGGTCGAGTGCAGGTCATCAGGTACATGAGGCAGCCCACAAGCTCTGGATACGGGCCACTCGGCTCTACGGACTCATCCGAAGGCAGATCTGAGAGCGAGTGACCGGTAGGCAGAGGAGTGGACTGAGGCGAGGAGTACGTGAAGCGGAAGCGCTGGAGGATCTGCTGCACCATGTGTGACTGAGTCAAGGTGATGGTGCGCCGTGCTCTGTCCCGGGTGATCCGCAAGCCAAGATAGCTCGTCAGTTCACCCAGGTCTGTGCACGTGTGTCTCCTCTGCAGCTCCGACTTCACGTGGGCGAGTGCCCCATCTCCGACTTCACGTGGGCGACGTCCCCACTCTCCAACTCCTGCTCGTTACTATCAGTGCCGCTTCGTGCACAAGCCACACCCGCGAGCCCATTCCTCTCACCACCGCACCTGCTCTAAACTGCCGCCTCTGCTTCCCATGTCTTCCCAGAGACCCTGCCTTGCCATCTCTCCAACATGTAATGCTGATCTTCGAACTGCTGGGGATGGCAACGTTGAAGGTATTGCTACTGCCGATGCTGATGCTGCTGATGCTGATGCTGCTGATGCTGATGCTGCTGATGCTGATGCTGCTGATGCTGATGCTGCTGATGCTGATGCTGATGCTGATCCTGATGCTGATGCTGATGCTGATGCTGATGCTGCTGATGCTGATGCTGATGCTGCTGATGCTGATGCTGATGCTGCTGATGCTGATGCTGCTGATGCTGATGCTGCTGATGCTGATGCTGCTGATGCTGATGCTGCTGATGCTGATGCTGCTGATGCTGATGCTGCTGATGCTGATGCTGATGCTGCTGATGCTGATGCTGCTGATGCTGATGCTGCTGATGCTGATGCTGCTGATGCTGATGCTGCTGATGCTGATGCTGATGCTGCTGATGCTGCTGATGCTGATGCTGCTGATGCTGATGCTGCTGATGCTGATGCTGATGCTGATGCTGATGCTGCTGATGCTGATGCTGCCGACGCTGATGCTGCTGATGCTGATGCTGATGCTGATGCTGCTGATGCTGATGCTGATGCTGATGCTGCTGATGCTGATGCTGCTGATGCTGCTGATGCTGATGCTGCTGATGCTGATGCTGCTGATGCTGATGCTGCTGATGCTGATGCTGCTGATGCTGATGCTGCTGATGCTGATGCTGCTGATGCTGATGCTTCTGATGCTGATGTTGCGTTAATTTCTGCTGCGAGTGCCAACACAATCCCCACTCCGTCCCTTGGCTGCCTCGCTCGCCACCAACCCGGAAGCGTTCTTATAGAACAGCTAATGTAACGAAGCAGCTTATAGGAGAGCAAATACGCCGTGGCGGCACTTCCGCCACACGAACGAGCTGCTGAGCCCGATCCCATGCCGCACTGCTGACGTGCCGCACTGCTGACGTGGACGCGTGAGCGCAGCGTGTCGCGATCCGCCGTACTCTCTCAAAGTCGCGCATCACAGCCAGTGCAATGGAGTTGAGTCACTCCCCTTTTCCTGTCGCACAGGGTGGGCATGGGATGGCACAAGGTGGGCATGGGATGGCACAGGGTAGGCATGGGATGGCACAGGGTGGGCATGGGATGGCACAGGGTGGGCATGGGATGGCACAGGGTGGGCATGGGATGGCATTTGAGGCGCCTCAAAGGTGGGCATGGGATGGGATGACCCAGTGTTCCTTCCTGCCATGCCATGGTGAGAGGGAGACGGCCCACACGCCACTGAGAGTGCTCACGCCATGCACGCTACGCATGGGCTTCCCTCATCGCCCCTCCCCTCCTCACCCTCCCCTCCTCCTGGGTTGCTTGCCTGCCATCATGCCTGCTTCCTCGCCCACTCTCGCAGTCAAGCACGAGTCAACGGCAGTCAACGCGCCTCACATGCCAGGCGCTCGCTGCGCTGCTCTCCCCTCGCCCCCTCCGCCGTGCACCACTGCCGCCGTTACCCTCGCCACTAGCGGGCCCGACAGGTGACAAGCGGGTGAATGGGGGGTTGGCAGTGGGGGACACACGCATGTGAGTAAAAGGGTGGGTGCGGGGGGTGGGAGACAGGCATGTGATTGAAAGGGGGGGGTGGGGGAGGGGGACACAGGCATGTGAGTGAGGGAGGGAGGAGTAGGGAGACAGACACGTGAGTGAAAAGAGGAGGGGGAAGGGGGAAGGGTACACGCATGTGCGTAAAAAAAAGGAGCGAGAGGGGGGGGGAGGGGGAGGGGGGGAGGGGGGAAAGAGAGGGGGAGGGGGGAAGACAGACATGTGGGTGGGGGTGGGGGGTGGTTTGAGTGGGGGAGAGAGGCACGCGCAGATCCCTCCCCTGGGCAACACACTAGCAGCGTCAAGGCCGCCTTGCTTCTCGCCATGCGCGCACATTGCATTGCAGCAGCACTGCCATCCAAACACAGCCGGGGCAGCCAGCACAGCCGGGGCAGCCAACACAGCACAACTGTCACCACCCCCTCTTGCGCCCATTCCCTCTCCGCTGCCCATCCCCCCTTCCGCCCATCCCCCCTTGCGCCCATCCCCCATTCCGCCCATCCCTTCTTGCGCCCATCCCCCCTTCTGCCCATCCCCTCTTGCGCCCATCCCCCCTTGCGCCCATCCCCCCTTGCGCCCATTCCCCCTTGCGCCCATTCCCCCTTGCGCCCATTCCCCCTTGCGCCCATCCGCGCATCACATCCCTCTTACCTGAGAAGCTTCGCCATGTGGTCAACCGAGGCTGCTTGTAGTGAGACGGCCCACTGCCATCGCGCATCCGCGCTTCAACCCCGCCCGCGAACGCTTGCACAAGCATCTCCGCGTTTCCCCCTGCTTCAGGCACCTTCCGCCTCCACTCGCCGAGTCCCTCGCGCCCGCGTAAACCCGTGCTTGCTGGCACGTCAGGCGGACGCGGGGAAAGGAGCGGCGCGCGAGACGGACGAATAGCAGCCGCGCGCCACGCGGAGAGTCGGGGGGTGGGGGATGGGGGGCAGAGAGGGAGGGGTGTGCGGACAAGGCAAGAGTGCGCAAAGGGGGTGCGGAAGCAAGGAGAGGTGGGCAGATGTTCCAGACCCTGAGTCTGACCGTGTACGTGCTGCTCACCCTACTGTCACGCGTCTCCTGGCCACTGTTGTCACTGACCCTTCCTTTGAGTCCGCTGCTGCGTCTGCCTTAGTTGCTGAGCTTGTCGACTTTGCTGCTCACTGTCGTCTAGACTACGCCGCGAGTCTAGTTGCTGAGTCTGAGTCTGTCTGTCCTCCGTCCGTCGGGGGTGAGTGTGCTCTTGGCACAGACGTCCTTGAGGACAGGCAGGAGGAGTTCCAGTGCTTTGCCGCTGCTGTACCTCATCTCGTGTCCATGCTGATTGCACCTGAGGGAGACCCGGATGCACCAGACATCCTGACCCCGCGCTCTTACGCTGAGGCGATCGCGGGTGAGTACTCCTCTCAGTGGCAGGCAGCCATGGACGCAGAGATGGCATCCTGGAAGTCCACTGGCACTTACGTCGACGAGGTTCCCCCTCCTAGGGCGAACATCGTCAGTGGCATGTGGATTTTCAGGGTGAAGCGGCCGCCAGGTTCTCCACCTGTCTTCAAGGCTCGTTACGTTGCTCGAGGCTTCAGTCAGCGAGAGGGAGTTGACTTCTTCCAGACCTTCTCCCCCACCCCAAAGATGACCACTCTTCGGGTGCTGCTGCACGTTGCCGCTCACCGTGACTACGAGCTTCACTCTCTTGACTTCAGCACAGCTTTCTTGCAAGGCAGCCTGCACGAGGAGATCTGGCTGCGCCGCCCACCTGGCTTTACTGGGTCGTTCCCTCCTGGAACCCAGTGGAGCCTCCGGCGGCCAGTCTACGGTCTCCGCCAGGCGCCACGTGAGTGGTACGACACACTGAGGACTACGCTTGCGGCTCTTGGGTTTGCGCCTTCTACTGCTGACCCGTCGCTGTTTCTGCGCACCGACACTTCGCTGCCGCCGTTCTACATCCTCGTGTACGTCGACGACTTGGTGTTTGCCACTGCTGACACTGAGGCTCTCGCCCACGTGAAGTCGGAGCTGCAGAAGAGACACACGTGCACAGACTTGGGTGAGCTGCGCAGCTACCTTGGCTTGCAGATCACCCGGGACAGAGCACGCCGCACCATCACTCTGACTCAGTCACACATGGTGCAGCAGGTCCTTCAGCGCTTCGGCTTCACCTGGTCCTCAGCACAGGCCACTCCTCTGGCTACAGGTCACTCGCTCTCAGCTCCACCTTCGGACGAGTCCGTAGAGCCGAGTGGTCCTTACCCAGAGCTAGTTGGCTGCCTCATATACCTGATGACCTGCACTCGTCCTGACCTCGCGTACCCTCTTGGTCTTCTGGCTCGCTACGTGGCTCCTGGTCGGCACCGACCTGAGCACATGGCTGCTGCTAAGAGGGTACTGCGCTACTTGTGCAGCACATCAGGCATGGGGCTAGTGCTTGGAGGGACGAGCCCAGTTGTTCTCACTGGGCACTCAGACGCTTCTTGGGTTGACGACCACGCTACTCAGCAGTCGTCACAGGGTTACACCTTCAGCCTTGGCTTTGGTTCAGTTTCGTGGCGTTCTAAACGCTCGTCTTCAGTTCTTAGCTCCAGTTGTGAGGCTGAGATCTATGCCACAGCCATGGCTGCACAGGAGTTGCGCTGGCTCACCTACCTGCTGACTGACTTGGGAGAGCAGCCTCGTTCTCCTCTAGTGCTGTACGTCAACAACAAGGCTGCCATTGCCTTGTGTGAGGAGCACAGACCGGAGCACAGAACAAAGCACATCGCTCTGCGTTACTTCCTGGCTCGAGAGTTGCAGCAGCGTGGTCAGCTTCGTCTGCGGCACGTGGCCGCTCGGGCCAACACTGCTGATATATTCACCAAGGCGCTTCCGTCTGGTGATCATCAGCGTTTCTGCACTTTGCTAGGGCTTGTGCCCACATTTCCTCACTTTCTGTAGGCCTTACTTGTTCTGTAATCTATATATGTATATATACATGCATGTTTGCATTACTAGGTAGAGATCACTGTGCTGTTCTTGCTGCTTATATACCTCTGCATGTGGACTGGCCTTGTGGCCGTTTGCTTGTGCTCAGTGTGTGTGGTGACGTTGTGATCCACCCTGAGCCGTGTTTTGTTTCTTCTCTTGACTGGTCTTGTGACCATTGCTTGCTCTGGCTATCCCCCATTTCGCCTATGGGGGTGTGTCAAAACATATGCATGTGAGCATCTTGGCTATATTGGGGCTAGCCTTAGGGGGTACAGAAACTTTCTCGACACTCTAGTCTTGTACCCCAACCTTGATCTAATCACACATATACTCTTCTTATTCTAACAGGGAAATCAGGTCTGCTGCCCATAGCGGAAGTAGTTTATCCCGGGAAAGGCGTGCTATGTCTCGATTGGAGGAAAAAGAACGTTAGGGGTTGAGCAGCCAATGACAAGCTGTCCGAAACGAATGCTCCAAGCATAGCCTCGAGGTTCGGCACAGCCGGACGAGATTGTTGCGGCTCGTGTCAAGATAAGCGGTAGTCTTAGGAGCCATAGCTAGGAGAGTCCTAGCTAGGCAAGAGAGTTTAGGCGAAAGAGGAGGGTTGCACTAGCAAGAATGGGGATACAAATAGCAAACCCTAGAAGGGTTGTACTCGCTACAGAGCACCCCACTACAGGCTAGAGCATAATATTCTGACACACCCCCATAGCCAAAGTGGGGTGTAATCAGCAGAGCAAGCAAAGCAGTACAAGCTCAGGGTGGATCACAATGTCACCACACATTCTGAGCACAAGTTTAAGAAGCAATAGTTTAAAGTTCACAATTATGAGCAAAGCTAGTGGTAGTCACAACGGGCAAGTGAGGAGGAGGAGGGCTGGCGAGAGGAGAGTAGATGGGAGGCGACGACTGAAGCTGCAGGCACACGGGCAACAGACGGCTCTGGTGCGACACAGTGGCTACCGGGAGTGAGTGCCCCGGAGTACAGGAGTAACAGGCTCCGCGGCTAAGACGAGCAGCAGGAGCAACGGACCCACAGGCGACGGCGCAACCGGCTCTCTGAGCTACCGGGAGTGAGTGCCCCGGAGTACAGGCGCTGCGTACGACACGACGGCAACCTTTCCTCAACCTCCCCCAACAGTCCCACACCCCTCGACACACACCCGCTGCTACACCGCTAGCTCCACTCCCCCTTCACCCCCCCTTAGTACCACTCCGACGGCTCCAACAGGTCCACCCCCCTCAGCGGCAGCTGCAGCACAGGGAGACGGAGGAGGAGGAGCAGGGAACGGCACACAGAAGCTGCACCCCCATACCCCCCAACCCCAAACCCTAATCCAGGAGAACGGGCAGAAGGAGGGGTGGGGCGCCTTCAGAAGCACGGGGGACAGCGGGGAGGACAGGGGCAGCGAAGAACGGGCCGCCCACGGGCCTGGCACAGCCTCCCGAACCGCGCGCAGGCGGTCCGAGCCGCGCGCGGGCCTGGCGCAGCCCGTACGGGCCGCGCGCGGGCCTGGCGCAGCCCGTACGGGCCGCGCGCAGGCCACGACGGGCGACGGGGGGCGACGCGCGGGTCCCCGTCGCCCGTCGCAGCGCCTCCCGGGGGCGACGCGCCGAGTGACGGGGCAGGAACCCGCCGCGCGCCTCGGGGCACACGGCGGGCAGAGAACCGCCGCGCGCCTCGGGGCGCACGGCGGGCAGAAAACCGCCGCGCGCCTCGGGGCGCACGGCGGGCTGAAAACCCTAGTTTCGACGCCGCGCACCACGGGGCGCGCGGCGGACAGGGAGTAGCAGTAGCAGCGGAAGCAGTGAAGTGGGCCCACAGGCCACGAACGTTAAGCTCTGATACCATGTCAAGATAAGCGGTAGTCTTAGGAGCCATAGCTAGGAGAGTCCTAGCTAGGCAAGAGAGTTTAGGCGAAAGAGGAGGGTTGCACTAGCAAGAATGGGGATACAAATTGCAAACCCTAGAAGGGTTGTACTCGCTACAGAGCACC